CCCCAAAACCCCAAAACCCCAAAACCCCATCCAGCTAAATTTTAACTTTTAAGAAATTAAGATCTTATTGAGAATTTGAAGAGCCTTATTTTAATTCAAACTTATTAGTATTAGTTGATTAGATTATTTAGTTGACCTCCAAAAACTCCTGTATTCCCTCCAATATTTTGTCCGCACCCGCCTCCAGGATTGTTACTTAGGGTACCACTGTTGCCATTTATATTAGGTACTGCTGCACTCTGGTTTAGAGATACAGAGAGGTTACCGTTTTAATTCTAAGCGATCATGCTTTATTAGTGCTATTATTATAGCTAAGCATTTTATTATTGTAACTACTAATGATGCTAATTTTGATTTGAATTATGATCCTTATTTGACTGCAGCTAAGTTTGCTAAGTCAATAGCATATTTATGATTTGATTTTATTGCTAAATCATGCTATATAGAGTTACCACATTCGCATATTAATTATTTCCAATCTAAGGCTGAGATTGTTATATCTACTGAATCGGCTAACTTCCTACAAGCATACTAGGAACTATAGACTTGGCCTTTACAGGCATAACTTAGCCACCCATTAGAGCTAATTTTCCTAGCCCTCTTACTTTCCTTTATTTTTTTATGGGCTTCATACCCTTTTCGATAACATTTACTTGGTAGTCTCTCATTTCAGACTCATGTCTAATCTTGTCATGAGCTGCCATTTGATCATATGGAATTTTCTCTTAAGGAGTCATTCGAGCCCAGATTTAAGAAATCAATTGCATCATATCTTTAAAGCTTCTACCCGGATTTTCTTATCCAATCCTAGCTCTGTTTTACTTTACGAAGTAGAGATATGGAGTCATGCACTTCTTTGGTTTTTCTGCAGCTGATTCCAACTCAGCTTTAGTTCTTCTAAACTTTTTGACTTTCATTTGAATACCACTGATGCCAGGCATAATCTATGCTTGGTGATAAGGATTAGACTGTGTCATTTATTACTGTAAAAGCTATTGAGATGGACTGATTTATTGCTATGCAACTTGCTGGGGCCTTTGGCTTTAAACTTGTATTATTTTTAAGTTTAATTTTTAGTCAGAAGGCAAACTATGCCATTCTTTAGCTATAATCGTTGCAATCTACTCACTATCACTAACTAATTGCGGGTATTTAGCTACAATTTCTTGATATTTATGATGGCAAAAAGCTTTGTAGTTTTCGTTAAGCTTCTTTTCCAAGTCTTATTAATTTATTTACGATAGTTAAAGATGCGAGTTTACTTGCTAAGTACTGTTGCTAGTAGTCTAGCCTGATACATCACTTTGATTGGTTTGCTATTGCTAATTCTATATCTATTGATTGTAAGATTATTGCTATCTTTGATAATCACTAGCTGACACATTTTTAGTCTGATTGAAGCTGCTATTTTGCTATAATCTACTTGAGTCCTCAGGATTATTTATTTACGCTTGTTATTGTTGCTGTTGTCTTTGCGATTGTAGTGCTAACTACTGCTATTGTTATAATCTTTGCCTCTCCTGTTCCTTCTACTATTCAAGTTCTTCTTCATTAATTGGCTTTAAATGATCTCCGAATTCATCTTCTTGATCCTCAGATTAGTAATACTGCTGAGCAAATTTTTACTACTGCTCTAATGATATCTACTCAAAATTCTCTTCCAAGTCTCTATAGTTGCTTCCATTCTACAAATTCATCATTTACTCTTCTTCGTCCTCCATTTCTTGATCATTCTAATCTTAATCATATTCTTCAGCTTCTTCTATATCCTAGTCTAGCTGATCATTTTATCTCTCCTATTCAGCATCTTCTGCCTACTCAGGATTATTCGCATTAAGATTCTCTTCTGGCAGTCCGATTGCTTGTTAGTCTTCAGAATGCTCATCGACAGTTGGAGCCTCCACTGGGTTTTAGTGGTGAATGTCTTCAAACTCCGATAGTCTATTGTCTATGATCTCAGTCATGTTAATCAGCAGATGTGGCAAGTTTTAATAAAGATTTTAATTAATTACTACTTACTTCTTTTTTCCTTATATAAGAATATCTTGGGGTTTTGGGGTTTTGGGG